GCAGAAAAGAAAAGAAAAGATGAAAACCAAGTTCGGTGCCCCTTACATCAAGAGCACTCACCCAACGCTTCATCCCATTATGCCTGAAGCAACCCAGGACGACAGCATTGATTACTTCCCATAGGGAAGGATTTACCCCTGTTCAGCCCCTGTTGTTGAAAGAAAGCCTGAGTCCCTGCTCTTCTAACCCTCCAGCCCTTTGTCTGTGCTCCTCTCAGTCTTGCGAGACAGGCAGAAGATCAGTGTCTTCCTCGAGCTGTTGTAAGGGGAGGAGGGCTTTGGCGCTGTCCTGGTGCCCTCACTTTTGACTAATTTGGTTCCGCTAATTGCTCTTAACCAGATAATGGGGATATGGGACCTGAATGGTGTCTGCCCTGCCCTGTGTTTTAGTTATGCGCACCTGTGAGACCTTATCTATGTCTCTGGATCCGGCACTGCTATAGGCTGCGCCAGGCATGGAATGATTCTCGCGTCACCTTCCCATAAGTTGAAACCCATCACTTTTCCTCTGATGCTTACAACCTTCCCTTGTGCAAGAATTATTCCTTCAGATTTTCGGTGGTGTTCAGTTGCATTTTCAGTGTCCTCTAGTATTGTTTCCTTGTCTCCACTGTGCCAATATTCAGTTTCAATTTGTTGTATACAAGGGTCCATACTTCTTGTATGAGAATTTGTCTGTGTTCTTTTGTTTGGATTTGTGCAATGAGACCACCACACATGAAACACTCAGACACCAATCCCGCATCACACCGCACTCACATGAGACACACAAGGTCCAAGAGAACCTCAATAATCAACACAAGGGTTGTCTTGTCTGTCACCAGCGTCTATGGCCGTTCAACTCAACATGCAGTTACGTCTCTCTTCTTCCTCTCCCTCTCTCTCACTGTTCTGACTCTCGAGGGCCTCACCAGTCCCTCAGAATCTCTTTGTCTCTCTCTCTCTCTCTCTCTGCCTCACCAGTCCCTCACAATCTCTCTCTCTCTCTCTCCACCCCCCCCCTATGGAGCCCAGTGCTGTTGACTACTCTCTCTCTCTCTCTCTCTCTCTCTCTCTCTCATGGTATAGCTATGGCTATGGAGCCCAGTGCCGTTGACTACACTGTTCTACACTCACTCTCTTGCTCAGTCACCTCTCTGACACGTAAGACCACAGCAGCCCTTCCGCATTTTGTTGATGTCCAGGGGCTTCTGGACTTTTATACTTGCTGCTACGCCTTCCATACATCTTCTGCTGGTTATGGGTCGGTGCCCTTGCCTTGGTTTGCTGCTTCCGAAAGCTTACGGATCCTTGGACCTGGCTGCTTGGCCGGACCGACTGACACCAGGACTAACGACTCTTGGGATCTTGGCTGAAGCTTGTGGTGCCTTATAAAAATAGGCTCCTCAACCCATAATTGTTATCTATCAAGGACTTCCTACCATGATCTAGTTAACGAACATGTCAGGTCCTCTGCAATCATGGTACAAATGAAAATTACTCTTCTAGAGTATTCATAAATATCGTTGTCGAGCGCATCGGTCCGACACCGTACAAGCAGGGCGGGACCCTCCCGGCCGCGTCACGTAGGAGGTTGTCTGCTCCTCGTCGCAATACACGCATGGAGCTTTCACAAGCCGCTCCGGCCGAGTGCGCCAGCCATACCTCTCGCAAGCCCCTACGACAGAATAGGGCCTACGAGAGGCGCGACTTACCTCCACCTTACGAAAGTTGTCACCTCCCTTCGGTGGGCGTATCCCTGCCGAGCTATCGTCGACAATACGAAAGCTAATCAGCTGCAATCGTAGAGGTGGACCAGCCGAGGGCGTTTCTCGTTCGCTGTAGCATAGGGGGTACGCACGGTTTTACGCCTCTATCGGACCCGCACGCGAACCGACGCCTTGGGGGGCTAAGGTCCCAAGAGCGACTCGTCGTCGGTCGACTAGGACGAATCCCACACACCACGCGTACACCACTCTAAAGATGTAAAAATTAAAACATGCACGCACACGCACATATACAGAACGGCGCAGGACAAACAATGCGACAACACTCCTAGTCCCTTAGTAGTCATCCCATAACTCTCCGAACCGGAAATCAGATAGGCGTCGCGCGCGAGACTTAGTAGAAAACCGCGCGGACGCAGGGCTAACTCATATCGACTCGCAATGCAAGCATACGCAAGCAGTCGCAATGATGGTGTACTATGTAGTACTCATACTCATGCGGTCCTCGTTAATCTCGAGAGTCACATTCGACACTCAAGTGTCGGCTGACACGAGCCTTGAAGGGTTGATCCCTCGACGCTAGACAACCGCCAAGTGTGGTTGAGAACCACGCCCTCTTCTGCATCTTGCGGAGAGTGGGTGGTACACAAGTTCATACATGTGGTG